CATTCAGCAATTGATCAAATGATGCCGAATAATAGGTGAAGGATAGGAAACTGCAGAATGAAATAGTCTACTATACCACTTCTCGGCCAAGTTGTCGTCTTGGGCAACAGAATTAATCTAAGGGGGCATCCAACATGAGTCTACTCAATTAATTTGAGCCGTGCGTACGTCACTTACTTGTGCAGATGTGTAGGTGTGCGTGTATAGCCCGTCGACATAAGTGTCCACGGCCAACTGGACTTGGAGACGTCTGCGATTTTGGTTGCGTCATCTCGTTACAACGCGATGACACAATAGCCCGATCCCCAAGTAGCAAGGATGAGGAATTTGCTGTTTCCGTGTTACGTCAGTCACACACTACCCTTGCAACATAGCACAGGATTTCGCGACACTTGTCAGTGTCTCCTGTACATAACGCAGGTGGTTGCCATCGGATACCAAAGTCCGTAACTCGCCTCGTCCAGTTGGTTGTGGACAGTTATGTTGACGGGCTATACACGCACATCTACACACCTGCACAAGTAAGTGGCGTACGCACGGCTCAAATTAATTGAGTAGACTCATGTTGGATGCCGCCTCAGATTAATTCTGTTGAACAAGACGACAACTTGGTCGAGAAATGGTATAGACTGTAAAATATACAACCGACAGGGTGCCGCATGAAATGCCATAGCACTTGTTTTGTTCAGTACACATGTATGTATCATCAAAATATTACAAAATAAGTGTAGGATTAATTGTATGCGCATGGAAATTTAGTTCAAAGCAGATGTGGAATAAATCGGTTTTCCAACATGTCCATATACCGAGCTTTGTTTACGGTCTCACCAAAGAAAAAGGGTCCGTGTTAAAGTCTACACATGCGGAGGTAAAGCTAGCCAGCAAAGCAATAATGGCTCTTAACCGAACAACGCCAAGACAACAGAACACGTCTAGCTGGCCGTGTGCAAATGTGTGTTTATGCCAGAAGGGGTAGAGCATCGATCAAGTAACCGAAGCCAACCACTCGTCAGTGGGAAATCGATAGACAGACAGGCACACAATGTGTGCCACATTTCTCCTCTTTTTATTCGGCACTCCCCCAGATAGCCTGGTAACCACCAACTGGATGACGGAATCTAGTCGAACGGCGTACTAGTTGAGCTTCGAGCTAGCTTGTAGTGTGTGTAGCCACCGCGACCACTGGCAAGGTTGAGGGGCTTGACAATATGTCCTCTGGCTCGGTTGTAACGGAACGACGGCGGAGGTGATCTACGGGACGGGTAACCACCCTGCCGTCCGGTAGTGCAATCCCTTCTCTCTGGCCTTCAATTTCGCGGAACTCTGCAGGTTGCCAAGTCGGTTCGTGGGGTGGTCCGACGTAAACTGGCTGGTCTTCACGGTGTTTTCGATCTGATACTTTTCTACCGTACCACTCTTATGATTGCAATTAGCCGCATCTCGAGGCGTAATCGCTAGTCGGATAAGAGTAGGTCTAGCCGCGTCTTAAGCCGTCGGCCGAACATTAGTTCGCTTGGACTCTTGCTTGTCGATGGGTCTCTCCGTCTAACAATCCATTCTGTGGGATAGTACAGCACCGAGTCCTGATGCAGAGGCGTCACATCGGAGAGTGATGGGCCTTCTCGAATCAAAATGTATCAGCAGATTAGCCTTATCAATGGCCGACTTGACAGGAGCGAGACTTGTGTTCTTTAGCTGACCATTGCCACTTGGTACTTTTTCGTAGTAAAGCGTACAGGGGTGCGAGGGTGGTGGCCAAATCAGGTAGGAACCAATTATAGTGTTACCATACCTAGAAAGGATTGCAGCTCACTAACTTTGCATGGTCTCGGAGAATCAAGGATGGGCTGGATTTTTTCCCTTGGTGGATGCAAACCATGTTTATCCGGAGGCAACCCAAGGTACTGGACACTGTCTGCGAAAAATACACATTTGGATTCCTTCAGCTTGAGTCCACACTACTGCAGACGTTTCAAGACCAACAAAAACGATGTCATGAGTTCGTGATCAGTTCTGTCAGAAATTAGAATGTCATCTAGCTAAGCGCATACACCGGGTATTCCTCATAATACATTGTCAAGAATCCTCTGAAATATTGCCGGTGCAGAATACATTCCGAATGAAAGCTTGCTGCAGTGGAAGAAACGCATATGCGTATTGATGGTTGTAATCTCACTGGCGGATTCATGCAGCTCTACTTGGGATTAAGTGTGGTTTAAATCAAGTTTGGAAAACTTCTGTCCACCTGACAGAGTTGCGTAAGTCGTCAATTCGCGAAATAGGATAGTATTTTGAGGTTGCCGCTTGGTTAGCAGTCAACTTGTAGTTACAACAGACACGGACGTTGCCATCGGGTTTTTGTGCTGGAACAATTGGCCCGGTCCAAGATGAGTGGTGTACTGGCGAAAATATTCCATCTTTTTAAAGGCACTCCAGCTCTAAGTCAATTTTCAGACGGATAGCAAGAGGTAAGCTCCTTAGTTTGAAAAATTTCGGCTGGGCGTTCGGTATGATATTGAAAGGGACGTTAAAATCATGCAGTTTACCGGGCGATGTTGCATCAAACACACAAGCACATATTTTCCACAATGAAAGAATATCTGGAATATGGTCCACTTTTTGACGGTTTGAAATAGTTCCAGCATCTGTTTGAGCCAGTTTCTACCAAGCAAGTTCGGACCATCAGTGTTAACAACAATTAAGGGAAGGGTAAAAGTGTCGGCCCCACGAGTAACCTTTACTTCACACATCCCCAGTACATCGAGTGATTCACCAGTGTAAGAACGTAAAATAGACTGTGTCGGGACCAGCGACAAGTCGGACAGTGTAAAGTTGTTGACTAACGTGCCCGAGGACCCCGGGTGGATTTCAAGGCGCACAGGTTGACCTTCATTATCAAGTTCTACAGTGTACGGAGGTATTCCGCGCACAGTTGACGTGGTATTGTGTGAAATCAATCAAGATATGGACTCATCGGAATTCGCTATTGTCCGTACGGTATTTGGTGGAGGGTAAGATACACGAGGTGAAAGTACTGTTGAGCGACAAAAACGCGTAAGATGTCCAACCTTGCCGCATTTGTGGCAAATGGACTGTTTGTATCTATAATCAGTTACTCTTTCATGTCTTGCGCCACACCTGTAGCACATAAAGGAGAGTTGGCTGTTCGGTGACAATCGAGATTTGACCGCGTAGATTACATATGAAGGATGATCATGTTGGTAGTGAGTTAACTGTTGAACCAGATTTTCTCTTTGCCCCACTAATGTGCATGCGGCATCCCAAGTAACCTTGATCTCATCTTCCGAAAGTGGAGGTTGTCGGGCTTTGTTGTCGCAAATGCTAACTAGAAGACACTGGATAGCCATGACCTCTTCAAATTTCGTGGACGGAATCTCATTATAACGGCAATCAGGCAGGGACTGTTATATGCGGGTTATAAATTTGTTAACATTGTCTCCCTGCCATAATTGGGAAAAATTTAGTCGTGAAGTAAACACATTTTGTTGTAAGCCGGAAAAACCATCCAGATATTTTAGACAATGTGATAAGGAAGTGCTTTCAAATAACCGTAGCGCATCAAAATGCATGACCCTCCGCACTCAAGTAATGTCTCAGCAATTTTACAGATTGTTGTTCAGTAACAGTGACGTGCGGATTTGTAATTCTAAAAACTTCAAGGTAGTTACCTAATGTTCTATTCCATCGAGTCCAAACTGCAAGTGAAGGCTTGGAAGCCGCTTCTTTAAAAAACGCATCCGGTGGAAGAAGTTAACTCATAACGAGTAATTCCAGATATAGAAGCCGTCATCAATGTTAAAGTTTACAGATGCGGAAGTAACGCTAACCTGAAACGCAATAAGGGCTCTTAACCGAACGACGTAAAGACACAGAACACGTCTAGCTGGTCGCGTTCAAATGTATATCCTGATCAGAAGGCGTAGAACATCGATTAAGTAACTGAAGCCATCCACTTGTGAGTGGGCGATCGATAGACAGACAGACGCACAGGATGTGAACGCTAATTGGAGATGGTAACTCACGCCTTTCGTGTAGGTGAGGATGTTCACTTGCCCAGAAACGAATATTTTGCTTATTCACTACGCCGTTTAAATGAAAATCCGCCTCGTCGGTAAACCACGTGCAGCACAAGTGATCTTCTAACACTAACCATTAGGCGAACTGATGTCTTTGTTGCTAGTCCACTGCTGATAATTCATGGACAAATGTTAGCTTGTAAGGGAACATTTAAAGATCAGAATGCGGAATCCTTTGTATGGACCGACGAGAAACTCCGAGCTTAACAGCCGTCCTACTTGTTGATTTGCTGGGACTTCGTCTAAAAGCAACGCGAACTGCTTCCATGTTATCAGGAGTGCGACACTTAGTATGCGTCGTCGATATTTCTCCAGCACAGAGCCCGTTACTTCGAATGGACAATACAATTTTTGAAGGGCCTATTCACATGGAGCCCATTTTAAAGTGTCGCTACAAAACTCCTCGTTTCTGTAAAAAAAACATTACAACTTTCACCTCCTGATCAACATTCAAGTTGTTCTTATGCACCATGGTGAAATTGTTTTCCGCGTCAAGAAAATATTCCATATTAACTTCTCGTAACATCTACCGGATATTTCACACACCAAAGTGAATGAAAACGATTTTTCAAGATTACAACCATAAAATTACATGTGTAATGAACAAAACAAAGGGTATGACATTTCGTGCGCCACTCTGTAGGATTACAAATCTTGACACATTGCGACGCGTGAATTCGCGCATCTAACAGATTGACCACTTAACGTTCGAATTGTTCATTCAGGTGAATAAGTCCAACTCAGACAAACAAGCTCAACAATTTCACGATGTGATGATTGAGTTACCTTACACAGTGCCAAGTGCGTACAGAGGACATTAAATCCACGATAAAAGGTAAGTAATGTGATTGGTAGAACACAAGTTAAGTGAAACGCTGAACCTCTGGGACACGTTCAATGTACCTCAATAAGAAATGATGCGGTGGCATACACTGTGTTGCTTAAGGCACGCTTGCGGGTTTCGTAACGCGCCGGTATCGTTTGTGAGAACTGGATGATCATCGATCGGCCATCGCTGTACCCAGTTGCCGAGGAATCAGCTCTCCGCTCCGACCACAACCTCAGGCTGATTACTGTCGATAAGACGATTAGTCGCACAGCCAAGTCCCGAACAATCATGAGCAGGAAACATCTGTCAATGTAAGCCCAAGCTGAAAGGACGAAATGTCCTCGAGGTTGCTTCCATATCAAAACGGATAAGTAAAATACAAGCAGCTGACGAATACTCGGTGATACAAACACTTAATAAACAAATCACATCAGTGTCAAAGAAATACCGTAGTATGATTTGATATCGGTTCAGTGCATGCATTGATGGATTTCATACGAAAAAGAGATAGACTAATGTTGCGATGACCAACAGGCACCGACAATCCGGTTGATGCTCAAGATGTTGGGAGTCAACAGTGGCAAAAACAAGTCTAGTGCCTTATATGATACCAGTGTCAAAAAATCACATGCGAAAAATAGAGGGCCAAGCTCGTCTGTCATGGCGAAATATGCTCCAAGTGAGTTTGGAGGTCTAAGAGCAATACAATGGATATCTATGGCTCATAAGACTGCGAGTTATAAAGGTATGATCCAGATGGCTGGTCCCACGTACAAAGATAATACGCATAGCAAATTGGACATTAGGATAAGTAAAACAAGAAGTAGAGCCTAACGTAGCAGTCAAAGCTGCACTCACTCAAGTGGACGCAATTTACGTGAGTCTGAAGCTGGGCCTTTTGGGAAAATCGGTTCTTACAGAACTCACAGGAGTAGGCTCTTGGTTCTAGAACAGAAAGTAGGACGACAAAAAAGGAGCAGAATATCAACAAGAAAGTAAAAAGTGAGGCGCAATTAACAGCAACTCAACGAAAATATTCTTATGTTTACGTCGGCGACATATCCAACAAAACGCACAAGTAGGTAAGCTGATAGCTGGCAGTGGAAACGAATCAAAATGCCGTACAGGACTTCCAAACATCAAGATAGCCAGTCCCGTGACATACATGCAGGAATAATGCACCTGCAAGCTAGTTTCTCAGTTAACTTATCTTGCAGATGTGCCAGGTCGCCGACTGGCCATCATACCGTTTTGTCCGGCCGCAATATGGAAGGCGGTCAAAGGGTACACGGCGAACAGAACGTAACGGAAGGGTTTAAGCTTAACAAACACCCCAGCGCGGTACCAGAGGTTTCCACTAAAATGACCAACAGGTGGACTTCCGTATTGCGAACCCGATGCTCCCAACTGATATTAGCAATGATCCACAAAAACTGGTTACTACTGTCTTTATGTTTCCAAGGCGAAGCGAACATCCTTTCGATCCACGCTTTGCAAACACTACCCCTGAGTAACAGGACGAAATGCTAGGGTTACTACAGATGATCAAGACTTTGAAAAGCCACAACGTATTCGACGACACGTGAAACAATTGCAGATCGATCATGTGTCATGTAACACTGTGAGAGTCAAAACGAAATCTGGAAGATGATCAAAACTGTTATGATCTACGTCTGACAGCGATAAACCATGTGACCAGTTATACCATCAACGCCTCTCAAGTACATTTGCCTGCACGCGCCGTTCGTCTGTCGTAAAGGGTCCATGTCAAGCATTGTTAGTCCGGAGCCACGCCGAGCTTGGTTCATGCTAAGCCGCAGTTGTTCTGCGTCGTCCACACGGCCGGTGAATGCGAATGTGTAAGTGGGTCGACTGAGGTTTTCAGAAGCTCAGATAGGTAGCAAGCATGGACCTAATTCCGACCGGACAGACAACGGTGAAGGTCTGTTGCAACTGTGCATGGAACAGCGGTTGTTTCTTACTAGCACCACTTTTAGACACAGGGGGGGCCGAAGGACCAGTTGATGTCCACCTATAGCTGGCCAGCGATGGACCAAAGTTAAGCAAGTTGCCGTGAATTACAAGTAGCTTAGTTCCATAGTGGACTGTCACTCGTTCTGGAATACCTGCATCGACTCTGAGTATGCTTTGGTAGGATGCTGGTTTTCCGTGAACTCTACCGGGAGGCGTACCAAGCGCCTCTCTCGAGTGGGAACTGAGAAGATATCTCAGCCCTTGGTCAAGCAAGCCTACCAGGATGAACTGAGTACCGAAGTTTCGCTCTCTTGTCCTGATGATACTGAGCTTCATTGGAGTAGGATCTCGGCTGCTATGGGCGATGCCAGAGCCACTGCTTGCGGCCCTATGTATCGTTGCCGCTAGTTACTTGATATCCGAGAGGTCGGTTAACTCGTTGAAACCTAGAACACTCCATGCAGGAGCTAAACACAATGTTACCAGGCGGACTATTAGACGCGAAATCAAGCAGAGCCTGGGTTCCAACAAGGGAACCGGTGGACTAGCAGGGCTCAAGAAATGCATAAAGCAGAAGCAGTAGGCAATAATCGCAAACTCTTCCTGCTGATCAGCTCCACCAGTCTCAAAAAACCAGGCGCCCTCATCATCAACAATAGCAGTACACTAGCCATTTGAACTGCCGTACAATCACTATGGGCTATGTAATAAACAATAACAAGCGAGAGTATTTACCGGAAAACCATAATGTTCTAAGCAAACAATCATGGTCAGGGCGCCCACGTCTTGTCAAAAACACACCGTAAACAACATCTGAAAATCGTGCAAAAAAGCAGACATCAGTGAAAAAATTACAGACAGCACGGGTACCTTGAATCACGTAAGGAACACTGTAGGGTTTGATGAGACCAGCACTTTAAATATATAAATTCAGTTGGCCCCTTGCTCCAGGACTGCTTCCTGCTCAGGTGGTGTAGAATAAACCATGGACGATTAGTTAAGTGGTGCCATCCGAAGCTGAGGTCCGAAACGCGATCACAGCAATTAACCGTGTTCGTGCTGCTGGTCGGAGTTCCGACACGCCCGCACTATTTATGGACAGGGCAGAGATAATGCAAAGCACTAACCTCACAACTCGAACAAGTCTGGAAGGAAAAGAGCATCCCAGAGAATTGGAGTGAATGGATCATAGGGGCAGTCGCACAGACTGCCAAAAACAGGAGTGTTCGCCTAACGCTGGTGCAAAGGTTACCGGTAGCATTTCTCGGTCGTCGTCTCACTACGAAAGGGGAACACCGGACTACGGAAGAGTAGCTTCTGGGGAAAGAACATTACACTTGCGCGGCCAATTCAAGGCAAATGAGCAGTACATAGATTTCAGTTTAGTCGTTCAACCATGAATCGAAGAGAGGTGGGTCTAGTTGTAACAACTCAAACCAAAGAATAATAATCACAGTTGTAGGATAGTGGAGTTGGGTGGAGAAAGAATGTAGAGAAAATGAAAGCAAGAAAAAATGCGTTGGACTAATCAGAATGGAACGAAAACTAACAACCGGCTGAAAGAAGCCGAATGCAGCAACGCTAATGACCGCGTGACTGCACAATACTTGCACGGTCTCTAACCATTGGGGTAGACCGTCCCGAGGCGTCCAAACTCCACAGGTCCTGTGTGTATCTCTCTCTTTTCACCTCCTCCTTCGAAGTTGTGGTGGGTATAGTGAGAGTTACACACAGGACCTGTGGAGTGACGCCTCGAGACGGTCTACCCCACTGGTTAGAGACCGTGCAAGTATTGTGCAGTGACGAGGTCATTTGCGTTGCTGCATTCGGCTTCTTTCAGCTGGTTGTCAGTTTTCGTTCCATTCTGATTAGTACAACGCATTTTTCTTGCTCTCATTTTCCCTACATTCTTTCTCCACCCAACTCCACTATCTTACAACTGTTATTATTATTCTTTCGTTTGAGTCGTTACAACTAGATCCACCTCTCCTCGATTAATGGCTAAGCAACTAACCGGAAATCTATGTATTGCTCATTTGCCTTGAATTAGCCGCGCGTCTAATGTTCTTTCCCTAGAAGCTACTCTTCCGTAGTCCGGTGTTCGCGTTTCGCAGTGAGGCGATGACCGAGAAATGCTACCAGTAATTTTTCAGCACCAGCGTTAGGCGAATACTCCTGTTTTTAGCACAGTCTGTGCGACTGCCCCTATGATCCATTCACTCCAGTTCTGTGGGATGGTCTTTTCCTTCCAGACTTGTTCGATTAGTGAGGTCAGTGCTTTGCAGTATCTCTGCGCTGTCCTCAAATAGTGCGGGCACGTGGGAACTCCGACCAGCAGCACGAACACGATTAATTCCTGTGATCGCGTTTCGGACCTCAGCTTCGGATGGCACCACTTAACTAATCGTCCATGATTTATCCTGCACCACCTGAGCAGGAAGCAGTCTTGGAGCAAGGGGCCAACTGAATTTATATCTAAAGTGCTGGTCTCATCAACCCCACAATGTTCCTTGCGTGATTCAGGGCACCCGTGCTGTCTGCAATTTTTTCACTCACATCTCCCTTTTGCACGATTTTCAGCTGTTGTTTACGGTGTGTTTTTGACAAGATGTGGTCGCCCTGACCATGATTTTTTGCTTAGAACATTATGGTTTTCCGGTAAATACTCTGTCTTGTTATTGTTTATTACATAAATTATTGTGATTGTACGGCAGTTCAAATGGCTAGTGTACTGCTATTGTTGATGATGAGGGCGCCTGATTTTTGAGACTGGTGGAGCTGATCAGCAGAAAGAGCTTGCGATTATTGCCTACTGCTCCTGCTTCATCCATTTCTTGTGCCCTACTAATCCACCGGATCCCTTGTTGGAACCCAGGCTCTGCTTGATTTCGCTCCTAATAGTCCACCTGGTAACATTGTGTTTAGATCCTGCATGGAGTTTTCTAGATTTCAACAGGTTAACCGGCCTGGGATATCAAGTAACTAGCAGCAACGATACATAGGGCCGCAAGCAGTGGCTCTGGCATCGCGCATGTCAGCCGAGATTCTACTCCAGTGAAGCTCAGTATCATCAGGACAAGAGAGCGAAACTTCGGTACTCAGTTCATTCTGGTAGGTTTGCTTGACCAAGGGCTGAGATATCTTTTCAGTTCCCAATCGAGAGAGGCGCTTGGTACGTCTCCCGGTAGCGTTCACGGAAAATCGGCATCTTATCAAAGCATACTCAGAGTCGATGCAGGTATTCCAGAACGAGCGACAATCCACTATGGAACTATGCTACCTGTAATTCACGGCAGCATGCTTAACTTTGGTCCATCGCTGGCCAGCTATAGGTAGACATCAACTGGTCCTTTGGTGCCGCCTGTGTCTAAAAGAGATGCTAGTAAGAAACAACCGCTGTTCCATGCGTAGTTGCAACAGACCTTCACCGTTATCCGTCCGGTCGGAATTAGGTCCATGCCTGCTACCTATCTGAGCTTCTGAAAACCTAAATCGACCTACTTACACATTCGCATTCACGGGCCGTGTGGACGACGCAGAACACCTGCGGCTTAGCATGAACCAAGCTCGACGTGGCTCCGGACTAACAATGCTTGAAATGGACCCTTTACGACAGACGAACAGCGCGTGCCGGCAAATGTACGTGAGTGTCGTTGATGGTATAAGTGGTCTCATGGTTTACCGCTGTCAGAGGTAGATCATAACAGTTTTGATCATCTTCCAGATTTCATTTTGACTCTCGCAGTGTTACACGACACTTGACCGATGTGCAATTGTTTCACGTGTCGTCGAATACGTTGTGGCTTTTCAAAGTCCTGATCATCTGCAGTGACACTAAGGTATCGTCCTGTTAGTTAGACGTAGTGTTTGCAACGCGTGGATCGGAAGTATGTTCGCTTCGCATTGG